TAAAAAAAAATAGTTGAACCCATTGGAATCTAAGAAGCCTCATGTATAAATGATCAGAATAACTGTCGTGTGCATCCACTGAGGCAATGCACATTAAGCATTTAAAACAGTGTCTACCACCTAATATGCCTGTAGCCAATGTTTGTTCCCTTCTTTTTATGCTACAGCTGTCCCAGAGTTCTCATTTAAAATGGTATCTGGCTAGCAACCTCTCCTAACTTTCTGCTAAGATGCTTATTAAGACTGGAGAAGATGGGATCCCACTAGAAAATAAATCTGATGGACAGCCTAGCCTGAATCTGGAAGGCAGCTCCATAACTGGGAGGCCAATAGAACAACCTGACAAAATCGTACCCTGGTTTTGTCACATGAGGTGCCCCTACTTCACCTCACAAAAACAAATCCAGATTACAGAATAAATAAGGACACCCTTAGAAATGCCCTGATTTCTGCCTACAGATTCAGGCTGTAGGCCTGAAATAGCCTTCCAACCATGTGTCCATGGAGAAGGGCTAGTGAGGCTGGACCATGATGCAAGGAGAGGAGAGCAAGAGAAGGCTGAACAGGGCACAGGGGTAAGACACCATAGGATTTAGATTTTTTTAAAGATTTTTAAAATTTATTCATGAGAGAGACAGAGAGAGAGAAAGGGCCAGAGACACAGGCAGAGGGAGAAGCAGGCTCCATGAAGGGAGCCTGACATGGGACTCCATCCCCAGTCTCCAGGATCAGGCCCTGGGCTGAAGGCAGCACTAAACTGCTGAGCCATTGAGGTTGCCCAAGATTTAGATATTTAGATTGTATCTTATGCACGGTGGAATGCTGTAGGTGGGTTTTAAGTAGGATAGTGATGGAGATGAACAAAGTGGAGGATAAGCAGGGAGATTGGGAGCTTCTTATGATGATCTGGACAGAGGGTGACCACAGATGGGACTAGAGAAGTGGTAATGGAGATGAAAAGACAGACCTTACAAGTAGAGAGCATGGCACTTAGAGACTGAGCAGGGAAGACAGATGTTAAGAGGAAGTGGTGTCACAGATAACCCAATTATCAGTTGGTTAATGCCATGATGACGCTGCTATGTTACAAGTCAGCTCAAAACTGAATGGCTTAGACCAATATGCATTTGCTTTTTTTCTTTCATATGTTCATGGGCTGGCCAGGGTGGTGGCTCTGCCTCTAATTTAGATTGTTTGGGCTTGGCTCTAGTCTCTGAGTTTGGCTCAGGTCTATTCATCATTCTAAGAGTATTATAATTCTACAAGTATTCTGCAAGTATTTGTAGTACTAGTATATGAGTGGTTAACTAGTAGCAACTCAGCATATTCTTCTCATTTAGAAGGGCAAGGATGCAAAAGTGAAGCCAAACTGCATAGCATATTTAAAGGCTCAGCACATATCCTGTCTGCTCATGTTCTGTTGGCCAAAGCAACAGATGGACAAGCCCAGAGTCAGGACGTCAGAAAAATAAACTTTGCTCCAAAGTGAGGGATGGGGGAGTTAGCTAATATTTGCTGAACAATATTTCCACCTATCACATCAAGTTTCTAGAATGAGCAACTAAGTGAATGGAGGTCTTTTTTACTTAAATAAAATTGCAGTTAAAAAAATTGCAGTTAAGAGAAAAATGTTCCTTGGGCATCAGTTAGCTTTTGCTTATGCAAACTATTCCAAAACACAGTGGCTTAAAACAGCAAACAATTGTTATTTCTTCTAATTCACTGTGTTGCTAAAGGGGCTTTTCTGGTCATAGACAGGATAGCTGATTTCTACTGGTGGTGCCTATACATCAGTGTTCATTGGAGGCTCAGCTGGTGCTGGCGAGCTTAGGATGCATTATTTGCATATCTGGACATCACCCAGTGATAGCGGGGCCATCATGTGCATCATCATGGAGATGGCCTGGCTGTTCGTCTCCTACCTCAGGCTCATTCACAGTGAAGTGGTTGCAATGTTCCCATGAGCAAGCAAGAGAAGGCAAGCCCCAACAGGCAGCCAACACTTTCCAAGACTCTGTCACATATGTTGATGTCTGGTTGGCCAAAGCAAATCATGAGGCCAAGGCCAGATTTAAGAGATTGGAGAAATAAGCTTTGCATCTTGATGGAGTGAGGCACAAAATTACATTGCACAGAAGTGTGCATATAGGAATGAAGAGAATCCGTGGCCATTCTTGCAACCTACCACACTTAACTACAGCAGAGATACACTCTTATTTACAAAACAAACTCTAAGTGTTTTATAAGTCTCAACTTGTCTAATGCTCCTAACCATCCCACGAGGTGGGTAATGCTATTCTCACTTTACAGATGAGGAAACTGAGGCACAAAAAGGTTGAGTAACTGCAGTAACTTGCCTTAGTTCATAAAACTGATGGAGAACTCAAACCACACTGAGTGGCCTCAGAGTCTGTGCTCTTACCCACTGCATTAGCCTGACTTTCAATGGGGTGATATTACTATTACTACTACTACTACTACTACTATTACTATTACTGCTACTACTACTACTACTACCACTACTACTACTACTACTACTAGTACTACAAGTAGAAACTGGGAGCTGTATGGATGACTTCCAGCAGAATATCAGAGGAAGCAAGCTGATCATCTCCTACATGGACAATGAGCACAGCCAAAGGCATGTCCAGGTAGATCATGTCCCTCTTGAGAATGAATCAAGAGTAGTAACAAGCACATGAGCTCTGTGAAGATTAGGCCAAAATTCCATAGCTTCCTTCAATTTGATTTTTTTTAAAGATTTATTTATTTATTCCGGAGGTGGGGAGGACCAGAGGGAGAGGGAGAAAAAGAGTCTTAAGCAGACTCCATGCTCAGTGTGGAGCCAAATGTGGGGCTCAATCTTACAACCTCGAGATCATGACCTAAGCCAAAACCAAGAGTTGGCCGCTTAACCAACTGCACCACCCAGGTGCCCCATGAGTTTTGAGCAAGTATTTTTATAAAATTTTTACTCTTTTACCTCTTTTATCACTTTACTTTTGTTTTCTATTCTGTACTCATAGCCATATTTCTTTTTTAATCAAGAAACATTTCAGAGATCCCTGGGTGGCTCAGTGGTTTGGCACCTGCCTTTGTCCCAGGGCATGATCTTGGAGTCCCGGAATCGATTCCCACGTTGGGCTCCCTGCATAGAGCCTGCTTCTCCCTCTGTGTCTCTCATGAATAAATAAATAAAATCTTTAAAAAAAAAACATTTCAAACATAGACTGTCTCCAATCTAATTATTAAACAAATATTAACCATCTTACAAAATTCCTTAAGTTCTCACAGAAAAAGAGAATAAAACATTTTAAATAGCTAGTACCAGTTAGCTTTTGCTATATAACAAAGCACCCCCCAAATAGTAGCTTAAGTGAACAACTATGTATTTCTCAATTTCAGATGAAAATGAACACCTGGGGCACCTGGGGGGCTCAGTCAGTTAAGCATCTACCTTTGGCTCAGGTCATGATCCCAGGGTCCTGGGATCCAGCCCTATGTTGGGCTCCCTGCTTAGCGGGGAGCCTGCTTCTCCCTCTCCCTCTGCCCCTCCCCCCAACTCGTGTGCTCTCTCTCTCTCTCTCTTAATAAATAAATAAGATCTTAAAAAAAAAATGAGATCCAAAGAGGATGTGTCTGATCATAAGGATGTGGCAGATCTGATTAAAAAAACTAATGCTTTGGGGTTCTGATTTAAGCATTTTTCTAAGGGAAAAGGAATTCCATAGATATTCTTTCTGGATATTCCAAAGGGCTATTTCTAAAGAATTCTAAAGGTTAGTTGCATGAGTCTTTAGGTCTCATGTCAGAAGATGTATTTTCTGAAACATAATCCCTTCTAACTACCCGAGTGATATACTTCACCCTAAGTATTGTTCTTATAAACAATCTGAGTATTGTGTTCAGTGAAAGCCTTATTTCCTATTACTGTTTCCTAAATGATTAGATGGATTTTATAAGAAAGTGCCTAGAGAACTGGGATATAGGGTCTTGATCAGTCAGAACAGGGATTCTCATTTTGGTGCGCATCAGAATCACCTGAAGAACAAGTTAAAATACATATTCCTGGGCCCAGCCCTACAGTTCTTGGTTTAGTAAGTCTGGGTGGGTCCAAGGCTTTTGCATTTTGAAGCTCCTGAGCGATCTGATGCTGCTAGTTTGGGGACTATGCAAGAATCCCTTAGTTAGACTCAACAAAAACATCATGGCAACTGTGCTATGAGATATGTAAGTGGTGTGACCAGATCTATACTATAAGCACATTCTTTGTTCTATGATTATAATACTAAAAATTGGAAACTACCAAACTATCCGAACAATACAAAACTTTTAAAATAACTTCACGTACCATTAAATGAAAAAAAACCACAACTTATCTCAGTGTTGTTTATAGATGCGTGTATATGCATGGACTTGAATTTATATTGAGGAACAAAGTTTTAGGACAAGTAGTGATTTTTTATTCTCTGTATACTTTTCTACATTTTTTTTGTTTTTCAATGGTCATATTTTGTGTAGTAAAAAAATTGTTAAAAAATAAGTATTATAAAGTGTTTTAAGTACAAAAAAGACAATCATTGAATTTAGCCATGATCAGTATTTTCCTTGTTACCTGCTGACGTCCAGCAATACTTACTCTCAGAATACTATTTGAGAACATTTGAAGAGAAAATACCTTGCCACATTTCATTACATAATCAGCATCAGAATTGGCCAAGTATGAGGGAGACAGAATCACTTAGTATTCAGAGTGCTGGCCCTGGGGCCAAACTTCCTGAATTTAAACCCTGAAATTTGTTATCACTGGGCAAGCTTCTTAACAAACGTATGTACTAGTTTTTTTATCCGTAAGGTGGGGCTAATCACGGTTATCTACCTTGTGAGGATTGAATAAACAATTTAAGAAATGTTACATATTGCTGTGTTTGTAAAAAAAAAAAAATCAGCAGTTGTCCAGTACTAGCAAACATACATTAATGTTTTCTGTTTTTGTCTAGATCTGGATGTGCGGAGGCCAACTCTTTATAATCCCCTGCTCCCGAGTGGGACACATCAGTAAGCAGCGCTTTTCAAACCAACCTGAGCTTGTAAAAGCCTTGACATATAATAATCTCAGATTGGTGCACGTCTGGCTGGATGAATACAAGGTGAAGGAAATGTCTGTGATTTGGAATGATGAGCAAGAGCACAGAATGAGACTTGCTTTAAAGAAACCTGCTACTGCCTTTCCAGATAACAAGTTTTGGTTTTTTTTTTTTTTTTTCTCTCTTTTCCTTAAATTAGTGGCGCGCCGTCAGCCACTCATCCACCTGCCCCAGACCCTAGTCTCAACTAGTTTATTCTAATCTACGACACTTGAACATTACTTTTAATTTCTAAGGAAACTCAAGAAGTAAGTCAACCAACACAGGAAATTTGTTTTATTTGTTTTGCCCCCTAAGGATTGCCCCCTCTGAAGCATATACCTTTTCCTGTTCCCATCCTCACAGGCAACTCTTTATTTATTTTTATTTTTTATAATAAATTTATTTTTTATTGGTGTTCAATTTACCAACATACAGAATAACACCCAGTGCTCATCCCGTCAAGTGCCCCCCTCAGTGCCCATCACCCATTCACCCCCACCCCCCTCCTCCCCCCCTCCACCACCCCTAGTTCATTTCCCAGAGTTAGGAGCCTTTATGTTCTGTCTCCCCTTCTGATATTTCCCACACATTTCTTCTCCCTTCCCTTATATTCCCTTTCACTATTATTTATATTCCCCAAATGAATGAGAACATACACTGTTTGTCCTTCTCCGATTGACTTACTTCACTCAGCATAATACCCTCCAGTTCCATCCACGTTGAAGCAAATGGTGGGTATTTGTCATTTCTAATGGCTGAGGAATATTCCATTGTATACATAGACCACATCTTCTTTATCCATTCATCTTTCGATGGACACTGAGGCTCCTTCCACACTTTGGCTATTATGGACACAGGCAACTCTTTAGATTCTTTCTCCACTACCAAGTTCTCAAGTGGTGGAAGCTGCTGTGATCTGGAGACCGCACAAGAACCTCCACTGCCTCTTTCCACCAACAGTCAAAGATTTCTCTATCAAAGCTATCCCCCTTCACCTGTGCACCTCCCTCAGGCTTCAGTTCCTAGCCAGGTCCTAAAAGGGTGCACATACAGAAGACATGTAGCTGTGGCCCCATTTTTTGTCACCCCATTTTAACTTGAAACTTGTCCCTCCAGGATCCAGGCACAAACAAATATGGCAGGAACCCCAATAAGACCTCATTTTAGATATATGGGGAGAAATATGTAAGAATCTCTCTGTGGTAGTATATGTTCTGGTCTTAATCTAATATATATTATTTAAAATCACAAAAGTAATACTACTCATTCTTTAGTAATCAGGGCAATGTGAATTAAAACCACAGGGAGATATTTCTATATAGTCACTTAGATTGTCAAAAATGTTTAGAGTCTGATAGGACCAATCATTGGCAAGCACAGGAATTTTCAGACACCATGTAAATAAACAGTACAGTAAATCTTAAAGACATAATGGTGAACAAAAGCAGCCAAGCACAGTAGAATATATACTGATTTATTCAATTTCTAGAAGTTAAAAATGGGTAAACTTAAGCCATATAATCTATGTGTGCACAAATTAGATAATAAAGTGAAGACATGAATACATAAGATAACATTTAAAACCAAGGGAAAGGCTATGCTCAGGATGGGAAAGGCAGGGGGCCTTGGAAATGCTGTTTATGTTCTATTTCTTGACCTAGTCAGCATTACAGGGATTGAGTTTTCAATAATTCATTAAGTTGTACATTTAATATTACATACTTTTTATATGCTTATTATATTTCCTAATTAAAACATTTTTTTAAAAGGTAAAACACACTCAAGGTTAAAAGTCATACAGTATTGATTGGGATCCCTGGGTGGCTCAGCAGTTTAGTGCCTCCCTTTGGCCCAGAGCATGGTCTTGGAGTCCTGGGATCACATTGGGCTCCCTGCATGGAGCCTGCTATTCCCTCTGCCTGTGTCTCTGCCTCTGTGTGTCTCTCATGAATAAATACATAGGGTTTAAAAAAAATAGAAGTAATACAGTGTTGAAAGAGTATTAAATGAAAAGCAAGCTTGCTCAGCCCATAGTTCGACCCCTCAGAAGTAACATTAAATTAGCAATCATTAAATTTAATCACTAAAAATCAATCACTAAATTTAAATCACTAAAAATTAATAGTTTCTTGTTAATACCCATTTAAAAACAAATATATATCCTTTTACATAACTAGATTCACATAATATTTTGTTCTGCAATTTTTACACACCTGTTAGTATATTTTATTTATTTTTAAAGATTTTATTTACTTTATTTATTAGAGAGAGAGAGAGTGAGAGAGTCCATGAATGATAGGGAGGGGCAGAGGGAGAGGGAGAAGCAGACTCCCCGTTGAGCAAGGAACCTCACATGGGGCTTGCTCACAGAACTTTGAGATCCTAGGACCTTGAGATCGTCACATGAGCTGAAGGCAGACACTTAATTGACTGAACCACCCAGGCGCCCCTACCTGTTAGAATATTTTTAAAAATATACTTTCAAAGTTTTAAAAATCCAAACATATAAACATACATACTAAAAGAACATAAATATTCTTTTAAATATTTCCTTTGAATGGATATCCTAAAATCAATCCCATTGATAAATAGCCCCTCAGTGATAAACATTCTGATTATCTCAGCTTTTTGATAATCCTTAACATTGATAAAATGAACATCCTTTACATTATCTTTTTGTACATTTGTACAAACATATATCTGGAATAAATCTCAAAACATGGACTTGCTGGGCCATGAGACGTATGTTTTAAATCCTGATGGTTAATGTCCAAACTACCATCAGCAAATATATGTGAAAATGCCTGTTTGCCCACAACTTTTCCAACTCTGGTTTTAATTATTTTGTATTCTAATCTCATAGGTTAAAAATTATTTTATATTGCATTAATTAATGAGGGATCTTGAGCTTTTTTTTATATTTATTAATTTTTTTTTCTGTGAACTCTGGCCACAGATTTAAATAGTTGACTTGAACACAGCTTGGACTGGGTAGTTTCTGAATTTCACAGAGGATATAGTGACAAAAAGGTCCATCTAACTTAAAGAACGTATAACATTTGGCATTAAATCAATGGATTGTATGACCTGGCACACTGGGAAATGTAATGAGTGACATTAGACGAGAGAGGGCTTTGCACAAAATGTTGTCCAAGGTCTTCTCTGCCTTTGCTTCCAAATGACAACAGCTCTCTACCACCCTCAGGCCCATCCCCTGTACCAATCTGCCCTGACTAGGATTGGCAAGACATGATGGCAAAGACCTACAATGGTCAAGGGTCCCAGGGAGAATCCAACATGGTGTGCCCATAATACACTAACCTGGATAAGCAAGTTCTTCTCTTGTTCGACAATATTGTACTATAGTCTGGGCACTAGGAAACACAGGTGAAAATACAAGGGTTCTTTTGAGGTTTTTGGTCTATTTAGAATATCTCTTATTTAAAAAAATATTTACTTATCGGAGAGAGAGAGAGAGAGAGAGAGAGAGAGATGAGCAAGTAGGGGTAGGGCAGAGGGAGAGGGACAGAGAGAATCCCAAGCAGACTCCCCGTTGAACTTGAAAGCCAACATGGGGCTGGACCCCACAATCCCAAGATCATGACCTGAGCCAAAACCAAAAGTCAGATGCCCAACCTACTGATCCATCCAGGCGCTCCTAGTATATCTCTTTTAATATGGAGCAGATTGAATCCATCAGACGTTCATACTTAATACCCTCTTAAATCAGAGGGTATAACAGAGAAATGAGGTGTGGTAATGATAATGACCAGTACTGACATGACACTGACACTCCATGCCAGCCTTGGTTTCCCCAGTACTCTGCACGATTAGAGTATTCAGTCCTCACAACTTCATGAGAGTAGGGTCACATAATAACAAAGCAAGAATATGACCCCAGGCTGTCTTCACCCAGAGTTAATTTGCCCTGAACCCACTATACCATCCCATTTCTGAAATCATGGACATGTGGACTGGGATCAGGGAATGAAGGTTTTGTCCTGGAGTATTGAGAGAGCAGGAGAAAGGGGATATATCACAATAGGTGGCTGTGATTGTTGTTGGGCTCCTAAGAAGCAGGATCCAAACTTCCTGGATCCTTCTATACCACCTCTATCATGGTATGAACCATGCAAGCACACAGTGTGTGTGAATATGTGTGGGGTGAATGAATCCCAGGTACCACGTGTCTCTGCCTTCACTATATGAATGAAATAGGTAGGCTTTTTGTTTTGTTTTAATAGGAAGGTTTCTTGTTTATTGTTGTTGTAATTCAGGTGATGGAAATATATACTGCTATGTTCGATATACTGCTATGTTTGGTTTAACAAAATGACTCTCTATTTCCATTTAGGAGCAGTTTTTTTTACAACAGCCTGGTCTAAAATCTGTTGCCTATGGAAACATTAGTGAGCGTGTTGAACTAAGGAAACGATTGGGTTGCAAATCATTTCAGTGGTATCTGGATAATGTCTTCCCAGAATTGGAGACATCTAAGGGCAGCCTATGAAAAGGAAAGAAATCATTTTCATTAATGAAGGACTAGAAGTCCCCAAGGTCGTCAACAGAGAAGAGTACAAGTTTGGAACATCATGAAATTGTGTGACATGAGTAAGAAATACAACCAGAGAGCTCTAGAACAAGAGTGCCTTTCTGTCTTCCTTTAATGCTAGTTCATAACGCTGTTGCATATGCCACTACATTTCTGGGGTGGCAAAACCTTGAACATTAGAAATATACCCTATCACACAGCTAAGACTATCATACAATTGAACAAGGTAAAATGTATTCCCTTTGTTATTTGCCAAACTCATTTGGTCCCATTAAACCATAGGGAATGCTCCACTCTTGGAGCCTTTGTCAACTCTATTCCTACTCCAGACAGTGGCTTTGTCGGGAAGACATTCACAGAGAGCCTTGGTTGGTACATCCCAGCTTTGCCCCAATTGTATAGAACTTCTCTCTTGCTGACAGCGTAAATTTTGGTGCTGCTACCTCGCTTGGTTGGGTTCCTGAGTTTCTGATGTCCAGTCCACTTGCCACGGTGGTGCAGTCCAGTTCTCTAGGCCAGCCTTCTGGTTTGTGCCAGTCAGTTCTTTTGTCACTTGGAGACAGGACCTCCTTCTTGCTCCTGATTTTGCCTTGTTCATGTCCCTCCTCTCCTATGGCTCTGGCCTACAGCTCTCCTGACACTTCTTGGATTGTGTGCTTTGTTGATAATGTATGTTCTAAAAACTGTTTAGCTGGGACCAGGGTAGAAGGAACTAAATCTCTATCTACCCTGTGTGAACACACTCCCAAATGTCTAAAGTACTTCTTTTGGGTTAGAGGGATGGCTGGTGTGTTCATCCTGGTGAAGGTAGCTAGAAAGGGAAAATATATTTAATTCACAGAGATAATGAGAACACAAGGGAAAAGAACACATGGAAAGGAATAAAAGGAATGGGGGATACTTAGGGTAGGACCACCAGACCTAGCCTATGCTGGAGAAAATATAAACTAGTTTTTACATCAGGAAACGACTTATCTATCATGCTCACTCAGTCAACAACTGAGTGGTGATCCAGGGCCAAATATCCTTCTAGGTGCTGGGATGCAGCAGACAAGGGAGCAGGAAAACATCCCTCCCTTCATGGAGCTTGTATTGAGATAATACATATAACATCCATGTAATGAAAAAAGGACCAGTTTATATAATCTCTTTATACATTGTACTTAACAAAACACTCTATAGAATCTATTGTTAGAACAACATGGGAAAACCCAGGCTCATCTATTAATAGGTGGCCAGGGTAACCTGTTTGAGCCTCTAAAAAGTCAATCTGACAACACAAAATAAGCACCACATTATGATTATGTTCTTGGCCCATATGTATACCTTACCTGCTTCTAGAAAGTAATGAAAAATGATTATGATTAACCCATGAATCTATTAAAATTAGTGCAAAACACAAAATTGAAATCTGTAGCAGAAGGAAAAAAATTCTGGTATAAAGTATTTTGAAATAACTTTTTCTAGTTTTGAGATTTGAGAATAACTTTTTTTTTGGTAAGCATAAAGGAGGATGTTGTAAATATCAACTTTGCCAAAAGAAAAAAACAAATGTTGTTAAAGTCATGAATGTAATGTTAGGTCTTAGTTTTCTTTTTTTTCTCCTTGGGCGGCGGTGGGGAGGGGTGCGGCACAAGTACGGGCATGCAGGGAAAGAGAGGGAGAGGGAGAAAATCCCAAGCAGACTCCCTGCCCAGTGGGGAGCCCCAGGTCAATCTCGACCTGAGATCATGACCTGAGCTGAATCCAAGAGTCAGGTGCTCAACAGACTGAGCCACCCAGGTGCCCCTAAAGTCTTAGTTTTTTAATGTAAGTGTTGGTTCAGTTACCAGATAATAATGTGGATAAGTCTTAGAAATATTGTAGTATGTTGCTTAAACAACTTCTTTTGTATATTGACTCTAGAATAGAAATCCAATGAACATCCAAGTATAGCTGTGATTAAAAGGAAATCCGTATTAGCCTATAGGTGGCAATTTTCTGTTTTATGTGGAAACTTAAAAACCTGATTTCTATTTTGGAGCTAGCTGAGAAGTATCTGCTAACCCATTCAAAGCTTTTCTCAAAACACAGTTTTTGGTATGATCAAATGCTGAGACATGCCTTTAAAGTAAGCCTGGGAATTCTCTAATTAAAGCATACTTCTAGGAATGTAGCCTAAGACACAATGGCTTGAAATTATGCCATTGTGCTCCCATTATGTATACATATACACACCATAATAAGCACTCTGTCTTGATTATCTCATTTCATCCACACATAAGATAGGCCCTATTGTTATTGCCATTTCATAGATGAGAAAACCAAAGTTAGAACTTGTCTAGGGTTGGGGTTGCCAGTTTTAGCAAACAAAAAATACAGGACACTGTTTTTAAAATTTGAATAAGCAATATTTTATTAGAAGTATATTTCATATATTCCCTGGAACATACCTATGCTACAAAATTGTTGTTTCTCTGAAATTCAAGTTTCAGGCCATCCTGTATTTCATCTGGTAACTTTAGGGACAAACCAGTACAGACCGCAGAGTAGCAGAACCAGCCCAATCTCAAAGGCTGTGGGCTTAACCACAACGTTAGGCTGCAAAAAGCCTGTAGTGTCATTCTTCGTAACAGTAAAACTGGAGCGAACCCAAAACTTCAATTGCTAGAATTATACCATCATACATTAATTTGATAGAATAGCATATAAACCCGTTAAAAATAACAGCTAGGAAAATAATTCTATTCCAGCCCATCAGAATGGTAAACATTTGCATATCTGAAGCTATGGCGGCCCCCCGGGTGGCTCAGCGATTGAGAGTCTGCCTTTGGCTTAGGGGTGAGCCCGAGGTCCTGGGATCGAGTCCCGCATCAGGATCCCCGTAGGGAGCCTCCTCCCTCGGCCTATGTCTCTGCCTCTCTCTCATGCAAAGCTGAAGTTGAACATCTTTAACATGTGCAAGCCCACTTGTCCTTCACAAGGCCTTTTTCTACGAGGACACCCCCCCCCCCACGTGCCGGTCCCGCACCCTCAGGGCCGCCACCAAGCCGGGAACCCCGCAGCTCTCTGGGGCACGTCGACGCCGCGGGGCGCCCCAGCCAGGCGCGGACGGTGACGTCACCCGAGTGCGCGGGGCGGGGCCTTCCGTCACGTGGCCCCAAGGGCACGCGCGCTCGGTCCGGGACTGCGGCGCGGGCACTGGGTGAGCCCGTGGCCGCCACTGCGCGCGCTGCAGCGGTTCTTCCCGGGCTGCTCCGCTCGCCGTGGCTCATGCGGCTCGGACCCGGGCTGTGGCGGGAGGGAAAATGCCACGGCCCGAGTCCCAGAAGGCCGGAGTCCTGCGCTGCCGGCGTCGGGGTGAGTAGCGCGCGGCCCGGCGCGGCGGGGTCTGAGCCCGCGCGGCCTCCGTCGTCCCCTCTGCGCCTCAGGCGAGCGGCTCCGGCGCGCGGCCCCGAGACCCCGAGAGCTGACGGCGGTGCCCGGCTGCAGAGTCCGACAGCGCGAGCACTGCCCCCGGGGACTGGGTGTTGACGCAGTGACCGCGCCGGGGCCCGGCGAGCTCCTGTGGGCGGCGGCGGAGGTCGCGGAGCCGTGGGCCCGGGGCTCCCGCCGCTGTTTCCCTTAACGAGGGCCGGAGCCCCGCGGCTCGGTCTTCCAGAAGGAAGGGGTGCGGCAGCAATGGTAACGGACGCGCTCAAACGTGGAGAGGAGAGGAGAGGAGTGGAGGATGCACCGTGTCGGCCCTCCCTCCTCCTCGGCCCCCCCCCCCCCATCCAGGCAGCTCATATTTCTCGGGAAGGATCAACAACTTATATTTATGCTTGTTGACCGGGTCCACACACGGCATTTGGTTAAAGTGCCGCCAGGTCCTTTTCTCTTTCTGTTGGAGAAATTGGGTTATTTGTCTTGTACGATGTCCCACGTTCTTAAATTCTGTGCCGTTTGGATAAATCTAAAAATAGCAAGTCCCTGTCCTCCAGTTCGGAAAGACTTCATTGAGGAATACAAATATACTCGTGATAGACTAGGCCCTTATTTTCACCATCAAAGAAAATTTGGGTCAGCATATTTATTTATTTACTTAGAAAGCAGTTGTGTGGTTTGTTGGTTTTCCTAATATAAAATGAAATTATGACTTGGAATATGTTTTTCGTGGTACTGCTATGCACTCTCCGCTCCCAAATCACAGGTTTGGGCCTGACTTTTCAGTGTGTTTGACTCCACTCAACTTCTTCCCGTTTATCTAGAAATTTGGGTGTCGGAATCTACTCTGCCTTAAGAAAAGTAGGGAAAAAAAACCGTCGCTCTCCACCCTCAGTATGTTTCAGTTGAGCTTTACAAGTTCAAGGTGGTGAAAGAGGAATCCACAATTTTCACATCTATTGACAATTTCAGTCCTGTTTGTTCCTTGCAATTTGGGTTCTACTTAGTTTTTTTAGTTTAGTGTTTTTTTACTTTTGTGTGTGTGTATGTGTGTGTGCGGTAAACTCTACACAACATGAAATTTATCATTTTAACCGTTTTTTAGTGCACAATTCAGCTACATTAAGTACTTTCACAGTATTGTGTCATCACCCCACTACTTCCAGAACGATTTAGTCACTCCAAGCAAAAGCTCTGGAACCATTAAGCAATAACTTCCCATTTCCCCCTTCTCTCAGGCCTTGTCTCTCTGAATTTGACTGGTCTAGATATCTCATGCATGTGGAGTCATACAATATTTGTCCTTTTGTGTTGGGCTTTTTTCATGTAGTGTTTTCAAATTTCATACATGGTGAGCTTCTAACCTTTCACATTTTTTGAAACTTCTTTCTTAAGACCTTCATGTCTTGCAGTGGCTAAATCTGATGGCCCCACCTCAACTCCTGCTGGCTTGACCTCTAAATCTTTGTGACACCTTATGTTGTTGGTCAGTACACCCTCTTATAAGGTCTCAATTTTGTGATCTTTCTCATGTCCTTTATAAGCACTTCCTT